GTGTGGGTGTGGGTGTGGGTGGGTGTGGGTGTGGATGGGGGTGTGGGTGTGGGTGTGGGTTGGGTGTGGGTGTAGGCGTGGGTGTGGGTGGGTGTGGGGTGTGGGTGTGGGCATTGGTGGTTTAGCCCTTTTACATTAGTGAGTATATCCGCATACACATCCACAACCCACGCAGACCCTACACCCGCACCCATCTACACCCACAACCATATCAGGGATTGAGAACTTGACGAATTACAATGCTTCGCCTCGTCGCACGACGGAGGTGGTTTTGGATGTGGGTGTGTTTTTTCTCTTCACCATTCCACACCAACATCAAAATCCACACTCGCACCACATACTCACACCCACCCACCCACCCACATCGTCAGTCACACCCACATCCATACCTTTTTTTGAATATTTCCTGAATGCAGCATTCAATTGTCTCGAAATTTGGAGGTAGTATACCTGGCAGATAGTTATTTGAAGACACAAAGTTTCATTGAAAACTAATGAAGCAACACCGTATAATTGAAACTTTTACAAAACCTTCATTTGTCATGAAATAAGAGAGTCAGCTTCTCAAGAAACAAGTTTTCATGAACAAAATTTTTTCTGAAGGCTCTATAAGAGTAGGAGACTCGGTAAAAACTACTTTTCTATTGACATCAATATGACTGAAAAAAAGAGTTTTTCTAAATTTTGAAATTTTTATAACTCGGCCAAAGAGCATATAGCTCACGAAATATATTACCCTAGGCCCTTGAGTGTCGACTCTAAAAACTGATAAAATCTAAGAGGATGTTGAGGGGTACTCCCTTAATCCGAAACAGCACGATGAGAGTGTAAGTGGTTTGTGGATTCGGCTATAGGCTTATGATTGTGTATGAATGCAGATATTAGTGAGCAGAAAACCCACACCTACACCTACACCCTAATTCTCTTTTTTTTGGAATAAACAAAGCTCGTTTTTGATTGTTATTTTAGTTTTTTTTTAAATCATTGTGATTTAACGAATTTGTTTTTTACAGGTATAGTATTTATCTTAGGAAGCCATGAATAATACTTCTGCGCACAATCACAAAATGCTTCTTTTCTACTTTTATCTAAATGCATGAAAGGCAAATAATTAAAGTTTTATGTTTATCCAGTGAAAACAACAACTGTCAAACGCTTTCTTAAAAGCAATGACTGAATTCGATATGTAACTGGATACCTTATAAGTAGCGGCTATTTGAATGTGATTTTTAATCTTCATCGATTCAGTTCATTGTCATTAAACTTAGGTAGTTGGTAGATATTGTTTAATAACGAAGGCAATGTATAAAATTAATGGAACAGAGTCTCCAATATGGATTGAACAAAATCCGGCTAATAAGTGGTTTATATCGAGAGAAAAGTCTCCTGAAAGGTTCGGTTGATATTGCTAATGTTGTAAGTAATATGTTCCAAGTTTTCTCATACTTTTAGAAGAAATAGGTCCCGACAATGTGGACTCTTTTTACTGATTCTCGGCGGTTGTTGTTTGTGTTTCATGCTCACAGCAGCACTTTCAATACCTATGGCAATATTTCTGACGAATGCTAATAAAGATTCAAGCAGTATTACAACCACTCAAGGTTAGTTATGACTCATAGATCGACATTTGATTGGGATTGCTTATTTGAGGCGTTGTTGATCGAAAGCAGCGTTAATAGCCGTAAATTCATGTGTTTTTCCTTGACTTGTAAAAGAAATATCGAAATTAGAATGAAAGCTGTTCACTTTTATGTCGTCTCTCTCAGAATGCAAATTAAACTTTGCCCGAGTGATGTACACCGTGTTTCTACCAATTTATGAAGAGCAATAAAAAGTGAAGTTCTTTAAAAAAAAAGGGACCATAGAATTTACCAGATATGGAACCGGTAGATCGACCGATTTAAAATTTGTATCTGTACCAATCCTATCTGTGAATAGTCATATCTACTATAGTCAACTTCCGTCGAAAGTTTCCTAGTATATTCTCTATGAGATACTATCAACACCCAGTGAAAGTTTTGAACAAATAATAGGGACGCATAAGAATATAAGTCGATCCACCATAGAATTCTCGCAAGAAGTATATGCTTCGATGCAGAATTAGAAGACGAACCTACTCATGCCAAATTCAATATATTTTTGAGGCGATTTGATGACTTTCGATCCATATTACTTTACCCTGTTTTTGGTGCATCCACACGAGTTTATATTGACAATACGCTTGCCAAATCATTTGTTTATCTGTTTATAAATAGTTTCACGTACAAGAGCGAATAGTTCTGAACAAAACTCTGTATAAACCATCCAGATATAGTAGATTACCACTTCCACTTACCAGATAAGTGGTAAGT